GCCTTCGTTTTTCGTCAAATGAGAGGTATATTTCTAAAAGAAGATTTTTTATACAAATTTGTAGACGGTTGAAACTGAGACATTTAAATTTTTTTTCGATCATAAGGGCTAATGTAAATGATTTTTTTTAAATAATTATAAAAAAATACTTCCTACAAAGACTTAATTGAGCATTAGAACAAAAAATAGGCATTTTTAACCAAATTAGATGTAATTTCATTAAATTAGATGTAATAATTTTCAACAAATTCCAAAACCTAGTGATGTTAGATTGGAAGTGGCAACAGGACTTACACCGGCAAGAAAAGTTACGTTAAGTAGTAAAAGCTCGGGCAGTAATTAATTGATAAAACTATGTAAAATTCTTCACTGTATCCCTTCTTTTACTTCTCACCTTTCGTCGCCTCGTCCCGCGTCAAGAAATAGAATGTTTTGAGTGCGAACTGTTCTTGGCACCATGAATATTATATTTTATGAATGACTTCTTATATCTCTGTTATCTCTGGTACCTATCTACATTTATTTATTTGTACCCTTAATTTATTTTTTTTTTTTTTTCATTCAGATCGAAAGAACATGTTTGGATGTTTTGGAAAACTAAAAGGTATTTAGTAGCGGTATTAGCCTTATTTGGATTCTTCAATGTTTATGCACTCAGAGCTAACTTGAGTATAGCTATAGTTGACATGACCCAATTAAAAAATGTAACTTTGGAAAATGGTACCATAGTATTGGTACGTATGAAATCTTTATATCATATTCATTATCAAGTACCTATAATACAAATTGCATCAAACACTAAATGATTGGATTCCTATGCGTTTATCTAGAATTTCAAAAGTTGTATTTATTAAGTTATATCGCGGTGACCGTATTAGAACAACTTTTTTTGTCTATAAATAGGAAGATAACTACGAATTCTGCATACAAAACTAACTGAAGAAGAAATTAATATATTTAAAAAAATATTTATATTTTTGTTTTAGAAAAGAGAATTTGATTGGGATTCTAAACTTCAAGGATACATTTTGAGTTCATTTTTCTATGGTTATTTAACTACACAATTTCTTGGCGGATATTTAGCGGTGAAATTTGGTGGAACAAATATTTTCGCTATTGGAATAGGAGTGACAGCTCTACTTACAGTTTTCACGCCCCTGTTAGTTAAAGCGAATGTTTATTTATTGCTGGTTGTTAGGATAGTAGAAGGCATTTTTGAAGTAAGTAAACTTATTTTATTTACAACTAGGCATTGCATAATATATTTATTACTTATGTACTCAACAGTTTCATTGAATATCTGTTTGGTTAATTTATACGTCTATGCCTTATTTAGATCGTGACTTGCCAAATTACTAAAGGATTTATATTTTTTTCTAATATTATGGCTTTTTTTATGGAAACAATCACAGCAAACATTTTGGTTTAATTTGACGTCGAGACTACCTAAAATATGTATAATAAATTTGGTCGCTAAATTAGATTTAACCATATTTAAGGAAAATTTACGTTATCTCGACGTGGATTCGACATAAGTGGAGAATAAGACGACGTCGAAATTTGGTTTTATTGACCACATTGTAGTAGCCTTCTACGTTTGGTTAGTAATACTTTCTTAGAGAAATTTGGCGTCAATATAACGTCATTTCGACGTTGATTTAACCAGCTTTAGGTAGAAACTACAAAGATTTTCAGATGACGAATGACTTCAAGTACACAAAAAGATAAATTTTATACTCATTTGGTATTTTTATCTATAGAAGTCGAAATATTGTAGGAAGTGACCAACACAACTAAAACATATACTTAACTCACATCAAAGATTGAAAATAAATAAATGTCGGTAACTAAAATATATATATTATTTAAATACGACGAATCAATAGGTTACGTTTGTTAAAATTAATGCGTAGGAAATTTTGTCGTGAATGTTAACAGTTCTACTTTGAAACATAACAATGCCCTTCCAAAATACTCTTTAATAAGAAAAAATATAAGAAGAAATATTATGATTTAAAAATATTATGAGCCAAAACTATGTTACATTTGTTGTGTATCACTTTAGAAAATCAATAATGTTTTTTTTGTAATTTTTATCCGTTCTTTTCTAGTTAAGTTAATTTAAAAAATTTGAAATTTGGAATCGTATTTCAATTATGTTTAGAAAATATGGCGTATTGTGCTAATACGACTTAAAAGTTAATACGACTATGAAAAACTACGTATTTTACAAATAGCTTTTGACTAAGTTGAATTACCTTAAAGATAACGACATATTAGTTAATTTTACCTATTTAAAGAATTAATAACTTGTAAGTTTTATCAAAAATTTACCTGTACGTAAATGTAACATATTTGGAAATGCTACCTATTAGTAAATTTCAGCCATGTTAAGTCTAAATTTTTATTTAACGTGTGTTGACAAATCAATTTACTGGATATTGGAGTAATTTGTTTATTTTTCACGTTATACTGCACTCGAGATTTAAAACGTTTGACTTTACGAAAAAAATCGAAAGTACCTATTATTTATTATTGTTTACATTTATTTATAGCTCTATCTATACGGCAAGAGAATTAAGTTTACTATTGCAACGGTTTTTTAAAATGGCCGAAATTCTTAAGAATAATGGCAAAGACAATAAGTGAACAACCTAATTTTTAAAATAACCTAAATAATATAAATTTTACAAATAGGTTATGTATGGCAGGTTTTAAATTGGTGGTTTATAGTCGAAATTACTTTGTAGTAGATTTTTCAGGTAATTGCTACAATAAAGTTAATATTTATTTATTCAGGATGACTTTTAGGTCAACTAAATGAGTAATCGACTATTTGGTTAAAATTAAGTAGAAAAATAAGGTATAATTTTTCTACAATATCGACCTAATATTACTTTAAAGTAGAGTAAATAAAGCATCCAAGGTTACTTTACAGGTATAAAGTTACGAAAAATGTTCAACCAAATCTACCTAGTAGGATATTCTACTATAAAGACGATTTTTAGTTGCCAAACAGGTTGATGCTACCTAATTATGATACCTAATTTTACTTTAAAGGAAATTTACCTATGAGGTAATTTTTGGTAATTTTTGTTAGTAGTTTTTCCCTTTCTGATTTGGTTAAAGTTACTTTTAAGCAGATATGTGTACGAGGTAGATTTCTTGGTATAATTTATGTAAATTTATACCTAAATTAGAACCATTTGGTAAATTTAAAGTACAGGTATATTTTTCTAGTCAATTTTACGTAATAATTACCTCAATAAGTAGATTTGACTTTTACCAAGTCGAGTTATAGCTAATAATATCGAAAATATTTGCTGGGATCGATGAGTTGATATTAAGAGGTTCGGCCAAGACCAGGATTTTTTATTAATTTTATTATTAAAAATAAAAAATAAATAAGTAAAAGAACTCAAACCTTACCAAACAGGAGCCTATATTATCACCAGAAACACGTATTTTAAAACAATAGAATAAAAAGATAGCGATTTCTTTCATTACATACTGTATAAAATTAGTTCCAAGGCGGCTAAATAAAATATTAATATTAATAAAAAACCGTTGAGAGGGCGTATATGACCGCCTATTATTTTTTGTAAAAATATTAATAATTTGGAGAAGTTTTTTGTAAATTACTTATGGCATTCAACCTGTTAAGTAACAAAGAAAGAAATACATATAGAATTACCAACGATAGGTATGATAAACAGACCTTGTGTTTATAAAATGTGGAGACGGTTAAACAAATTGAATAAAAATAAAAATGAATATATAAAGAAATTTAAATTTGAAAATATTACTAACAGTAATAATATGATTTAGCAGGTTGTAAATATCCCGAAATATCTAATTTTGGGAGTGAGGATGACCAAGAACTTGTTGGATACGTTGTGGACAATAAGCACTGATGATGGCAAATAAGCCGAAAGCGCTTTGCATTTATTAATTAAAAGTTTTGCACGAACTCTTTCCTTTTGAATCTAAACTACGTGCACAAAATTTTTTTTTTCAAATTCCGACTTGTATCTCGGAATTCCGACTTGTAACTCGGAATTTCGAGTTGTAACTAGGAATTCCGACTTATAACTCGGAATTCCAACATACAACTCGGAATTCCGACATACAACTCGGAATTCCTACATACAACTCGGAATTCCTACATACAACTCAGAATTTAAATTCAGAGGTCTGAAATCACAATTGATATTGAATAAAGACCACGATTAAACATGCTGTGTATTTTGATTGTCATTTTGGAGTAGATAATGAATTTCTTAAATTTTTGAAATTGTTTATTAAATAGACTAAGATAGTAAGCTAGCGAATAGTGGTAATAGAACTGGTTTGTTCTGAAACATTGCTTAAATATGACTAATTTTAAGTTCAATTTACTTAATTCTTTCAATGTATATTATCTTATATATAAATCCCTTATAAATTTGTCTATACAGCGATACCAATATGCGTAATTGATCGATAGTTGTTTTATTATTAGAAATATGAAAATATACATTTTTATTTGCCAGACAAAAAGGCTGTATCTCCAAAAATATTTTTAAATCACATATTTTTTAAATCCATACAACTTTTATTCGAAACTTGTTTGCGTGTCAATAACACAAATTGAAATATTGAACAATTACGCACTAATGGAACACCATGTATAAAACTTTATCTATAATATAGAATTTTGGATTAATTTCATGTGAGAATTACTCCCTAAATATTTTAAGGTTTTTCTATGAAATTCTGTAAACAAACATCGAGGGTATTATGTAGGTTCTTTAAGTTGTTATTCCAGAATAAATATAAATAAATATTAAGGATATTATTGTTTATTTAATTTGTTTAATATGTTTATTTTTATTTTTCATTACGGTTTTTGCAGGATATCTTGTTAATATCAATATTATTTAGTTGTTTAAATTGTATAATACTTTTATTTTTATGTTTTTGATTAATTTTTGACGATGTGAAAAAAGTCAAATATGTATAACTACCTGCAGGGTGTTTTGTATTAATATAAAGGATATTATTTAGTTTGTTTAGTGTTTTGTTGTTGTATACCTATTGTATAATTTCTTTTTATAGTTTTTATTAATGGTTTTTCAGGATACCCTTAAAAGTCATGAATGTTTAGCTTGTTTTTATTTTCATATTTTTATTTATGTTTTTCATTAATTAAATTAAAAACTCTTAGCTAATTTGTGTATTTATTCCAAATATCAAAGAAAAAATATATTAAAATACATATTTATTATCTGTTCGATACAAAGTAACAAGTCAATTAATTAATAATAAAATTAAATTTCTTAATTGTATGTATAAATATAATGCTGAATTATGATCTTTCACTGGTGGGTATCTGTTTTCTGAAATTAAAATTCTGCACAAATAATATGTCTTTGTCACATGGATATTCGTTGAATGTGCAGTGATCGGAAAGGGAATCAACAGAAAAATTTGTAATTTCAACACAATAGTTCTTTGCTCCATAAAGAGACGATATGTCGAACATTATTGCAGGTCTTCCAGTAGGTGCTATACTATTTCCAGATTTACTTATTTTATGCACATTCCACTCCATAACAACTTCGTTGAGGTCCTCCTTAAATTAATAATTAATATTATTAATAATAATGATAATAATAATAATCTCTTTTGAGATTTATTTAATAAATTTATAGTATTTTTACTTTTTAAACAAGAATTCTTACCTAAATCAGAGTCATAAAACAAAATTGGACGAGAGACTTATCCAAAAAATCACCACAAAAATAATCTTCATCTTTCAACGTTTGAAAAAAATTCATCCAAAATTGTGTATTATGTTTTCGCAAAAATAGACCACCATGCTTCTATTCTTTGATTATGCACACTTTATCCATATAAAAAATACGGTTTAGAAGAAGGAGTTTGGATCTTCTCAATTATTTTATTTTCGGTACCTAAATCACACCTTACACTTTTAAGTCAACCACCAACCATTTTTATTCCTTCTAAGTAATATCCTGCAATAACCTACAACAAAAAATTCTACAGAATGCAGAAAAATTTATGATGTTTTACTTCGACTGCAGTAGAAAGAGTAATAATTGACATTTCAGCGATCTGTTAAACAATAAGTCTCGGTGGGAAGGGCTCGTATATCTAAGGGGGTTGCGCTATAGCCTTCCAGATTGGACGCTATTTTTATTCGAAATAGTAGTCGTCA